TGGGACAGGGGTGCGAGGGAGCTGGAGGCTGAGCAGGAGACTGGGACAGGGGTGCGAGGGAGCTGGAGGCTGAGCAGGAGACTGGGACAGGGGTGTGGGGGAGCTGGAGGCTGAGCAGGAGACTGGGACAGGGGTGCGAGGGAGCAGGAGGCTTAGCAGGACTGACGGACATCTCTGCCCCAGCAAGTGAAGCTGGAGGAGTTCGGGCGGCCCAAGATCGACGGCGAGCTCAAAGTTCGCTCCATCGTGAACCACGCCAAGCAGGACAGGTGAGCAGCGCCTGGGGGGCCTCCACAGCTCGGGACCCCCACCCGAGGGAGGTCTGCAGGTGGCGGGGCAGCTCAGGAGCGGCCGGCTTTTGTTCCATCCAGATGGTTTCCTCCCTCTGGGGAGAGCGGTGGCCAGCTCTTCCGATGGCCGCCCTGCCCACGGGGGCACAGGCAGGGCTAGGGAGCTTCTGGCACCCTGCCCACTGCTCCCAGAGTGACCCAGGATCTCTACGGGCCGGGCTGGGCAGTGGTCAGAGGCATCCGAGCAGGGTGCTGGCCGGCTGATGCCCAGCCCTTGACCACGCCCCGGGCAGGTACTTGTTCCTGTTTGACAAGGTGGTCATCGTCTGCAAGAGGAGGGGCTACAGCTATGAGCTGAAGGAGATCATCGAGCTGCTCTTCCACAAGATGACCGATGACCCCATGAACAACAAGGACATCAAGAAGGTGGGCCTGCGCCCCGGGACTGCGGCCCCGCCCCCCAGCAGGGAGTCTGTGGGGCACTCTCAGGACCCCAGGTCCCGGGTGACATGCCCCGCCCCTGCACAACAGCAAACCAGGTCTCCATGACGCTGGCCCAACTGCTGTCAGAGGCTGGGTCTGTGTGCCATGGGGTGGCACCATGATGGCAGAGGCGGGGCTGTGGCTGCTAGGGGTGGGGCTATAGCTGATGGAGGTGCAGCCTTGACTACTGGGGATGTGGCCATTTCTGACTGTGGTTCTTAGGGGTGTGGCCATCTCTGAAGGGGCGGGGCTATGACTGCTAGGGGTGTGGCCATCTCTGAAGGGGCGGGGCTATGACTGCTAGGGGTGGGGCTATAGCTGATGGAGGTGCAGCCCTGACTACTGGAGATGTGGCCATTTCTGACTGTGGCTCTTAGGGGTGTGGCCATCTCTGAAGGGGAGGGACTATGGCTGCTAGGGGTGTGGCCATCCCTGGAGGGGCGGGGCTTTGACTGCTAGGGGTGTGGCTATGGCAGCAGGGGCTGGGCCATGAATGCTGGGGTATGTGGCCCGGGAGTATGCTGGGGTGGGGCCATGGCTGCTGAGGTAGCGCTCTGGATTTGGGGATGGGACCATGCTCTGGGGGTGTGGCCATGACTGTAGAGGTGGAGCCATATTTTTAGGGTAGGGTCTGAATTGTAGGAGGTGGGGCTGGGCACTGAAGACTAAGGTTTTTTGGGGGGGGTGTCCATAACTGCTGGGGTCAGGGGTTGGGTTAGGACTGCGGGGGCTGGAGCTGTGGTGCTGGGGGTGGGGCCATAGACTGGGGCGGGGCTGTGCTGCAGGAGGCGGGGCTGGCTACCTGCTGTGTGCAGAGCTTGGGGCAGGAGCTGATCTTGTGGAAATCGCAGGCTTTCCCCAAGCCCCAGGGGGCAGCCAGGGCCTGCTGGAAGGGCCACTGGGGTGACTCAGCCCAGCCTAATGTGCAAAACGGGCGGCGAGTGGTCCAGGGCCCCTCCCAGAGCTCGGGCAGTGGCTAGTGCTGGGCCTGCCCGTCCAGGGAAGGCTCCTATGGACCCCCCAGCCCCCTTCCCCACTCCCTGTGTGGTGGGCCTGCCTCCTAATGACCTCTCCCTCTCTCCTCCTCTCATGCTTCCTAGTCTCACGGGAAAATGGTAAGCTGGGGTGCTTGCCGCTTCAGTGCGGGGCCTGAGGTGCTGCGCCACAGAGCCTGGGGGGATGGCAAGGGCCTAGGTGGGGTAGGCCCTGGTCCTGGAGTGTGGGGACAGAAACCAGGATCCCAGGTTGTGCTGAGCCAAGCCAGGCCGAGTAATTCATACTGGAAACATGTGCCCACCGCAGGACAGAGAGGGTCGCACTGCACCCCGAGGGCCGGGGCTTACTTTACCCGGGGGCTCCTGCTTAGCCTTTCTTCTCCCTCATGTTGCTCCCACCCCGTCTCCCGCCCTCCTCTCTCCACCTTTATTCACTACTGGACTCAGGATCTTCAACTCTTCTCCCTGGATCCCCCGCTGCTCAGGGGCAGGGCAGCTGCACGCACCCCCAGGCCCACGACCTCCTCCTTCCACGCGACTTCCGAGGAGTGGGGTTTGAGCGTCAGGTTTAGGGGGGAAGTGGGTGTGCGGCCTGACCTGTGGCCTGACCAGGGCTGAGTGAGAGAACCCAGGCAGTCAGGGCAGGGTTCACCTGGGAGCAAAAGTGAGACACCCCAGGATAACTAGTTAGGGGTACAGCCCCCCCAAACCTGTGCACCCACCTCTACATCCCCTTGTGTACAGGGGAGAGCCTGGCTGCACACACAGGTACAGGTGCATGCACATTAGCATGCACACACATACCTGCAGACAGACACAGGCGGGCACATCTACACACATGAGCACAGCCTCCAACGTGAGTGCCAATACGTGGGAATGGCGGTGCAGGCATCGTGCACCATGCGTAGGTACATGTGTGCACGGCAGGCACAGTGTTTACTGTGCACACACACACAGGCACTAGTGCCTTCCTGAGCGAGCACGCACAGGGAACGTCTGTGTACACGCGTGGGCGTACATCTCTGCACCCCACCCCCACCCCGCAGTGGTCCTATGGCTTCTACCTGACCCACCTTCAAGGGAAGCAGGGCTTCCAGTTTTTCTGCAAGACGGAGGACATGAAGAGAAAGTGGATGGAGCAGTTCCAGATGGCCATGTGAGCCCTGGGCTGGGGGGAGGGGGGGCTCCTTGAATGCCCTGTCTCTCAGGGACAGCAGCCCCGCAGGGTCCGCCTGCCATGCAGGGACACACCACTCTGCCTGAGCGAGCAGACATCAGAGCGGGCGGGGCCAGCCAGGGCACTCCGTGCACGCTGGTGTCTGTGGAGAACAGCCCCCACCCCAGCATGCAAAGCCGCCCGTACTCAGCGAAGCTGAGGGGATTGTCCAGCAAGCACCCCATTCCCCCAGGGACACGCACTCATCTCACTTTGGGGAGAAGGACGATGGGGAGGGAAGGCCCCAGAGCCCCGGGCAGTTCTGTCCTGTCCTGCAGGGTCCTGTGAGTTGGCACCAACTCCCTGGCAGCCAGCGTGAGTCTGTTGGGGCCGGGGGTGCTCCGCTGACACACTCCCGGGCTGTCTCTGTGCCGACAGGTCGAACATCAAGCCGGACAAGGCCACGGCCAACCACCACAGCTTCCAGATGTACACGTTCGACAAGACCACCAACTGCAGAGCCTGCAAGATGTTCCTCAGGTGAGCTTCCGACCCCCACCACTGCCGACCACCCTGGACCTGGCGAGTGGGCTGCCTGCTGTGGGCAGAGGTTCCAGAGGTCAGGGGTGGCTAGTCCCAGGGCACTGTGGGTGCAGCATGGTCCCTGTGCTGGGCGGTGGAGGACACTGGAGAGGGTTGGACGGGTGGCTGTGGAAGGGACCGGGGACCTTCAGCCGCAGGATGGGCTAGCTCTGAGCAACCAAGAGCATGGGGGTTCGTAGTAGTGGGGTCACCGAGACGGACCACCAGGTTCAGGGGCAAAGAGCTGGGCTCGGGGCCCACGTGACCCTCACATGCTGCTTCGCCCCCCTGTCTACTGGAACAGGGGTACTTTCTACCAAGGCTACCTGTGCACCAAGTGTGGCGTTGGGGCGCACAAGGAGTGTCTGGAGGTGATGCCACCCTGCAAGATCAGTAAGTACCCCGGGGGGCCCCCTCTCTCAGGGGCTCCGCCCTCACCAAGGGCCCCTGCCCCTCTCGCCCCCAGGGGCCCCGTCCTCCCCCTCAGGCACCATGAGCTCACACGGAACCAACAACAGCATTGGTGCGGATGGCCCAGGACCGGACAGTGTGCTGTTCTGTTGTGGGGGGGTCGCTCTGGGACTAGAAAGCCTAGACTTTCCTCCTGGAGCGGCTGGGGGCTTTGAACTGCTGACCTTGTCGTTAGCTGCCCAACACCACCAGGGTGCAGCCACTTCGCCACCAGGGCGCCTCCTGGGCTGGCCGGGAGCTCATGCTGTCCCCTCACGCTCAGCCTGAGGACAGAGCTCCCCTTGCCAGCCTCAGGTCAGAATGGAGTCAGTGGAGGCTGGACTTGGGTGGAGACGCGAGGTCGCGTGCCCCCCGCCCGGCAGTAAACCAGAGCTGTTGCCACTATTCTGACCGTGAGGGCCTGATGTGCAACAGAACAGACGCCGCTGGGGCCTGCGTCCCCTCCTCACTGTTCGTGGGTTTGAATCCACTGGTGCAGCCCCTGTGTCAAGGCACAGAGTTCGGGGGGCCAGGCCGCGCCCTCCTGGCCCCTGAGGGGCACTCTGGTAGTGAGTGCTTCTCCTCAGACTGCCCTGCTTGTCCTGGCTGTCCACAAGTCCTCTCCGACCTTCCCTATCCGCTGTCCGTCCCGTCCAGCTGGCACATGCGTGCGGGGTGTTGACAAGGCCAGGGCTTGGCCAGGCGCACCTTGGCCCTCAGACCGACAGCCTTGGCCTCTCAGCGCTCTTGAGGGGTCTTGTACAGCAGCGGATTTGCCCAGGGTCATCGTGTTTTGATTTCTGGAAGTCGTAGCATTCCGCAAACCAGGAGCTTAGGAAACAAACAAACTCCCAGTCGGTTCTGATCCATAGTGACCCCGTAGGACAGAGAGAACTGCCCTTTGGGGTTTCTGGGTTAGCAAACCAACCCAAACCCACTGCCTTCAATTCCGAGACTTTGTGAATCGATCTGTACGGGAGCAGACCGCCTCATCTCTCTCCAGTAGAGCGGCCGGTGAGTTCAAACCACTGACCTTGCAGTTAGCAGCACAATGCATAACCAACCCACTGCCCTCCCGGCCCCTTTCAGCTCCAGCACCCTCACCCCCCACCCAAAACAGCATCTGGGCTCACCCTGGACTCCTGCTGGTTGATTGCTCTGCTGCTGAGCCCAGTGCTCAGGGAAACACGGTCTTTCCTGCTTAGCAAGACTCTGTGACTTAAAGGTCACCTCTGTAGAGGATCAAGAAGGAGCCCTGGTGACGTAGTGGTTTCACACTGGGCTGCGATCTACAGGGTCAGCAGTTCAAATCCAGCCGTGGCTCTGCAGGAGAAAGACGGGTTTCCTACTCCGCTCTGCTCAGTTACAGTCTCGGGGACTCACAGGGGCAGACCCCCATCCAGAGGGCCTCTTGAAGTTGGCACCAGCCCGATGGCCATGGGCTTTTCCCTGGTTGGTTTTAGAAAATCAGGGACCCCTGGTGGTGCAGTGGTCACGTGCTCGGCTGCTAACTGGGGACAGAGAGGCGCCATCTGTGTCCAGACAGACGCCCAGCTCGGAAACCCTGTGGGCAGTTCTACGCTGTGCCCAGGCCTGCCCTGCCTTGGAGCTGACCAACGCCGCCGGACGGTTGGGTTTGGGGGAGTCCAGTCTGCTCCAGGCTCAGGGTCCAGTGGGCAGTGGTGTGGATGGACCACCCCGACTCCATGGACCCCAGAAATCGGGATTTGAGAGAATTTAAAAGCTTTGCACAACTTTGTTCCGGCCAGGGCCTGACCATCGCTTTTTAATGATCGATTAATAGAAGAAAGACAGGCAAGGAAGTCTGACGCCGTCATCTCCTGTGCCATCCAGAAACCACTGCCGGTGTCTCATACCGTTCTGTGTCTTGGTCTGGTTCTCGCTAATCTGGCAGGATTAAAGTAGTTATGTATTCCTTTCAATGGCTTTATCGGCCTGTCGTTCGCTGGCCACACGGTCACCATTCAGCCACATCAAGACGAGTTTCAGTCAGCACCGGACACTGTCTTCTTTCTTGTCCTGCTTCATGACCCCATGGCCTGCGTGGACCTGGCAGGCGCGGCTCTGCCTCTGTGAATGTTCGTGTAGGGTCCGCCACTCGAGCCTTTTGTCTGTGCAGATCAGCAATCAGTGTACGGTAGTCAGAAAAGCCAGCCTGGGCTTCCGCGCTGCCCCTTTCTCAACAGTTTGAAACGCTGCACCGTTGGCTAAATTAATGGCGTTATCAGTAGAATGACCTTCTGCTCCCTGGGGCTGATCGATAATGTTCTCGGTCATAAAATGATACTGCTGTCTCTAAAGTGAACCAGAGACATAGGTATACCATCAATATATGAATGGATTTGGGGCTAGCTCTAAATCGCAGCCTAATCTAAGAACAGTGAGTTCCACTCGATGCTCATCCTCATGAAGAGATTACTGACGACCAGGGCACTCTAACAAAAAGCTGCATAGAAACCAGATGGTGCCTGCCTCTCAGAAAGAATAGCATCCGGGGTCTTCGAGGCTTGACTTAAAGCGAGCACCCATCCAAGGGGGGAGTCCGCTAAGTCCACAGGGAAGGAGCACAGCAGCCCGTGTGATCCATAATAAAAGCCAAATCCCAAGGGGAGACCAGTATCAGAGCTTAAACTCTGGACCCTTGGGTTTCAGAGGCTGTGGGTGACAGTGGAAACCCGCTGTCCATGTGCAAGGTCCCCCCCATGGATGAAGGGCATCACGGTGAATCCCTTCTAACTCGTCCAGGGGTGTGAACGGCCTGTCTATCAGACAGAGCATGGTAAAGTTGCTGATGGCAGGTGGTCAGGTTACAAAGTAACACCTTATCGTTTGATCTGAGGAAACAATCGGAGACACTGGATTATTCGAAGAAGAATTTGGAATCAGGATTAACAACCTTCAGTATGCAGATGACACAACCTTGCGTGCTGGAAACGAGAGGAGATTGAAGCGCTTGCTGATGAAGATCAAGGGTTGCAGCCTTCGGTGTGGATTACAGCTCAGTGTAATGGAAACCCAGTCCTCACAACTGTGCCTGTGGTAACATCATGCTGAAGGAGAAAAGAATGAAGCTGTCAAGGGTTTTGTCATGCTGGTCCACCGTCAACACTCACGGGAGCAGCAGTGAAGAGATCAAACGGTGGGTGGCACTGGGTCAGCCTGCTGCATAGACCTTGAGAGTGTTGGAGCCAGGGTGTGGCTTTGAGGACTGAGGTGCCCCCGACCCGAGCCACGGTCTTTTCAATCACTTCCTATGCACGTGGACGTGGGACCCGAATGAGGAAGACCAAGGAAGAAAAGGTGCATTGAATGAGGGTGCCGGGGAAGATGGAAACGCCGTGGACTGTGAAGAGAACAAACGCTCTGTCTTGGAAGCAGTTGTGAGGGTGGGGACCCTTTGCCTCAAGTACTCTGGCTATAGGACCAGCAGGGACCAGTCCTGGAGAAGCACAGTGACAAAGGGGGGATGCGGACACAGGGACAGTGGTGAGGGGTGTCGTTCCGTGGCGCACGGGGTCCCTGCGGGTCGGACGGACCGGATGGCACTTGACCGCCCCAGCAGCCGCAGCGCCGTCACGCTTGCTTCCATCTCCCTTCTGACCGATTTTAAAGCGGGTCCAGTTGTTAACATTTTCTGCTCTTTTGAGGGTGTTCTGTTTTGTGTTTGAGCTTTGGTTTGTGTGCCTTGTTTTGGATGAAGTCCAGGAGCGGCGAGTCTGTGGAAACCGTCGTGACTGTTAGTCGTGACCTGAGGGCCTGGCCGGGGAAGTTGGGGGTGGAGGGGTGGGGACGGGAGCCAACACGAGTACAATAATAGTTCTTTACAAGTTTGTTTGTTTTAATTTAAAGAATCCTTTTCCCCCTCCTTTCTCATGATAAGAAGCCGAGATGTGGGACGTGTAGGGAAGGGAAAAGAAGGTGGTGAGGACCCACGCTCCCCTGGGAGACAGTCAGGCATGCATTTTGGCAAGACACTTGATTTTGTGGGTGTCTGAGGTTTCGGGACTGATCCCCACCAGCTGAGGCCCACTCCAGCACAGATGGTGGCTCTCTGGGCTCTGGAGGCCGGAGGTCAAAGTGGGGAGACCCGCTGTCCACATTCTCTCCAGAGGTTCCAGCGGAGGGCCCGCCCTGGCCTGTCCCTGTGTGATTTGTGATAACCGATTGCACCTCTAATGGCCATCTTTCCAAATGAGGTCTTGGTCCCAGGCGGACACCCACGTTAATTTTTCAGGGGACAGAGCTCACTCTTGAGCACATGGCCCCCTTGCAGTCTGGTTTTTGTGTGCGTGCGTGTGTGTGCGTGTGGCCAAACTGTGTGAGAGAGTCTCGCCATCCTTCCATCTAAGGGGCACTCTGGCTGGTCTTCTTCTACGATGGAGCTGTCTGTCCTTCCGGCAGCCCGTGGTACTTCCAAGGGTCTCTGCCAGCACCGTCGATCAAATAGCTCACTTCTTCTCCGGTCTTCCTTGGTCAGTGTCCAGCCCCCACCTGCCCACGAGGCGATTGCTGGTAACCACGACTGGGGTCAGGCGCACCTCGGTGCCCAGTGACATCCTCGCCTGTCAGGGAGAGGTCGTGGGCAGCAGAAGGGCCTGTGGAACGTGGCGGCGTGTGATCTCATTTCGGGTCATCGGTTGTGGCCCCTCCCGCGGCGTCACAGCCCTCTCCTTCCTGACCCTCCTGCCTTCGGCACTTGGTCTCTGTGCAGATGCCACCACCATCACCGTCACCCCTTCTGACTGCTTCTTGTGACTCAGGTGGGGTTCCCTTTCAGGTCACCAGCTTGGTACTCACCAAGTGGCACTACTTATCAAACCTCCCGGTGGCCTGCCGGCTGCCTTGGGGAAGAGGGGGTTCTCCCCTCCCTCTTGCCGAGCACCATCTTCCCCTCCCCCTAGCGAACGCCAGCCTGCCCGCTAGCCTTTGACATCACGGCCAGTCTGTCTCTACCCCTGCCCGGCGGTGACTGGGGTGGGAGGCACCTCCCTCCTTTCGTGCCCCTTCGAAAGCTCACCTTTGTGGGGGCGGGGTTCTCCCTGCGGCCTGAGAACCCATCCGTGCCTGGTGGAAAGCATTCTCCATCAGCACCCACTCAGTGGCGCCTACTAACCACAGCAAAGGTGCCTGCATCCCACCTCCACCCCTGGGCATTCACCGTGCTCCGTACTGACCCTCTGCTTGGGACATTCTGCCCAGCCTGTCACGTCTACTCTGTGGGTCTTAACGATCACCCCCGCTCGTGCCCTGATTCTCCGTCTGCTTCCTTTTCAGGCTTTCCTGCAGACCTGGTAAGCCTCCCCCCCAGACTCCTCCCTTCGCCCCAATAGAGAACTCTCCCCCTGCATCCCAACAGCCAGGGAGCCGGTGCCCACCACTCAGCCCTGTGAGGCG